TTGCGGTTGTTCTCCTCCTGGATGCATTTAATGGCTATAATGAGAACCATCCATCAGTGCAATTTACTGGGCTGAAGCCTACAACACTCAATAGAAACCTGTTAACTAACGCAGCCGTACCTAACTTGGTTTGTTGGCAAGGGGATGACACTTCAAGCTTCGCGGGTAGCTCTCCACAGGGTTGTAAGGAGGAGAAATGAGTTACGCATAGCCACATTATCTAGGCCCCTGCAAAAAGCACAGCAGTCTATGAGGAGCTCCTTTTCAGGTTGTACGTTTTATGGGAGCAGGTATCGGGCTTCTTGAGAAAAAATTGTATGCTTTCCTACTTGCCTAGATGAGCACCCAGGCAAGTGATTTGCCAGTGACGTTATCCAGTTGTGGTTTGTTTTTGTCCGAAGTTCCCGAGTCTTGCACTTGCGTGTGAAAGACGAAAGAGAATGTCGAAGCAAAGAGACATGGTATGGCGCGGATTTGCCAAGATATGGGGTGCTCTGTGCATGGTGTAGCTCCAGAAACTTCGCCCAAGAGCTGCTCACAAATCCTTACGGCCCTAAACAACAAGTGCTACAAGCGCAACGCCCCAAAACTGCGAAACCCGAAAAGCTAAGAGCAACATGGCAGTCTCCACAAAGGCCCCCCTCCTATATGCGCCAAGTGCTAGCATCCTACTAGAAGTGGCACCCCCAAAAAGACCCCTAAGTGTTGGAAACCTCCAAAGACTGCTTTCAAGGAGTTGCTCGCAGACCTGCGAGCATCGGAGGAGGAGAAGAGCCCTGAACCCAGACAACAAGCTGCGTCTTGCACAAGCAGCAGAGACCCGCACCGAAGATTCAGGGTCCAGGGTGTAGTTTGTCAAACTAATGGATACTGTTGGCATGGCCGGAATTTCGGGAGTCCGTGTTGGGAGGGTGTATGTGAGGTCAGTGTATAGTATTTCGAGTCTCAGAATGGCTAAATGCCGACAAAAGAGTTTTGCACAGGTATGTAGGTTTCGCAAGTTTCTACGTGGGCCAGCCGAGTTCCCACGTTTTCCTACAGGTGTTTGCGCCTTCGACATTCGCATAGGAACGGCATCGTTTCCCTTTAGAATGTTTCCAGTACGGAAGAGTTGCCATCCTAAGGCTTCCAAACATCATGTAACGAGAGCGGGCATGATGCTGAAGAGGTAGATGCGCACGTGCTGCCATCAGTTCTTCCTGACGTGCCCCTTACCCTTAGCCCATGCTATTGCAAGAAGTCATGGTTCTACACTGAAGGCTTCAGGTTAAGAGTAATCGACTTTCCTTGATCGACAGTAGACATTCACTCCTCAGACTCATGCATGATTTGCTCTGTCGCTTAACCCAACAGCCTTCAGGCCCTTGAACCTGTCATGGAGCTCCGCCTTAGATCGCAACCTTTCATTCCTGAGTAAGTCTCCTCAACTCTCACCTCGTGCAGCGAACAGGTTTGGCTAGAACACCATCGCTTTGCTCAAGAATGCTGCCTGAGAAGGGTCTCAAGAGGCGAATCAGATGCATCGCTGGGTTTATAAGGTGTGCGTAGGGTGTATGGCGGCACACGCAGGGGGATTTGGGTTTGAGTTTGGGCTTTGGTTTTTGTGAAAGGGTTCGTGGCTTATGTTTGCCTGGTCCAGGGGTTCATGGTGGTCGTGGGTGGCTAGGATGGTGCATCTTGGAGAGACGTCGAGTCCTAAGGTGTAGTCTCAGGCTTCTCAGAGTGATTGGGCCCCAATCCCACGAGACATGCCAAATTAGATTACGCATCATCTCCCCAATGAAATCAGGCCTCTGCGAATCTTCATCCAATCAAGACGGAAGCCCTACACCCCTATATGATCCATCAGCTCTTTGCCCCGAAGAGCTACCTAAGGACCAAATCAAAGTGTCGTCGCTAGTTTGTTTGTCGTTAATGCTGTTTGCAACTACCTCTGCTCAAACAGCTTGCACCTGATGACTATTCAACAACCCTTCACTAGAAACCAGAGTCAAAGTATCCCCTGTGAAGGATCCCCACGTATATCGTGGAGCTTGCTCACCTCGAACAAAACCCTGCCATCGCAAACTCCTTTCATGCAGGTATGCTTGCCTTGAAAAGAATATGGGGATTTCCCAAAATTGGGGGTACTATTTTGGTGGTCCTTATAGTCAGGATTATAGCATGTGGGGGTTCCCTATTTATGGAACATATCTGACTTTACTGAGTATTTTGCTTATTTGCCTTAGACGTGTCTTTCCACCTCGTTTGTGCCATTCTCCCACTTGTTTCCATGGTTGCTTCTCCATGTTATAAGCCCGTCCAATTCTCCCAGCAATCGATATTCGCAAGTGTATGCGTACATACATATATTTCTACATATTCAGGATGGTATGAATATACTATAGTAGTTTCCATTTTCTTTTCCATTATCCCTATATTACCACAATATACTATAGTAGTTTCCATTTCTGTTCCATAAACCCTAAACCCTAAACGCTAGGGGACTGGTCAGTCTCAAGGATTTTCTCGTTTGGTGCGGGCCGCATCGCTTGTTTGCTTCAGCAGCTTTGGCTCGAGATGTCGAGGCAGTTTTGACATGTGCTGTGGAGCGACTGCAGAGGCTGGGGTCATTAGGGTTTAGGCTTAATAGGGTTTCGGGTTTTAGGGTTTTAGGGTTTATAAGGTTTAGGGTTTAGGGCTGTGTAGGGCTAATAGAAATTTCATTATTTGGGCATTGGGCAGGTGCGACTGCAGAGGCTGGGGTGTAGGGCTTATATGAGCCATAGTCTGCACTCCTTAAAGGGGGGTTATATGGGGGATTATACAGGGGACTACTATAGGAGATATTAAGGGGGATCTAGGAGTTTAGACATATATTAGGAGGAGCCCCCACCCTGTAATAGTGGTATAATAGGAATATAAGAGGACCCTAATATAATCCCTATCATCCCCTATAATATAGTCAATATTAAGGGTGGGGGGTCCTCTTAATATACAAGGTGTATATTTTGGGCATGGGGCAGGTGTTCATCAGTCCTGGTTCTGATTTTAGTTGATTTTGGCCCCATGCAATCTCCTGTTATGCTGAGTTTGAGGGTTCGCGCCATATGGCTTGAGACCCCGAGGCTGTTAACGGATTCAGGCACCTAGTCATAGTTGGGTACCAAAAGGGTATGATGGGCTTACTCAGGAAATATGATGGTGTATTCCCTAACTCTACTGTCTCTCAAAATGAGGCTTCAGACTCCTGATTTCGAGAGAGGGCTTTTGTCCTAATTAGTGTTTAGGGGCCAAGGCTCAATCGAGGTTTGGATTGGGGATGGCAAGATTTGTTCAGGATTAGTGTTCAGGGGTGAGGGCATCAGACTGACGACCCTCAAGCAAGGAACTACATTGTGCCTCACCCGTATCGCCGCCTAGATGTTCTTGCTCCACATGAACGCCCTCGACTTCGTGATCGTAACTTCCGTAAATGTTCACAGCAGCACAAAACTGAAACCTGAAGCCCACATTTCACGGACAGATGCTGGAAGCCGTGAGGCGGTCGTCTTCATCTCCTTCTTAGAGTGCTATGCAAGCAATCGAGGTTGAGGCCAGCATGCTTCGGGGTTTGGGGGTGGAAGGGGTATTTTGGCTGTTTGGTTCAGTGTCGCCAACGTCAGAGCGAACATTGGTTCTTACACTTTCGAGACTTCGAGACATCTGCCCGCGGACATGGAGTGTAAGATTCCTAGTGTGGCGAGAACATCAGCGCTCTCCCAAGACAATGCTTCTCTCGGATGCACGTGACCCTATATCCGTGCACACACTGTATAAGCCGCCTTTGCTTCTCCCAACTGCAACATCCCCCCCGCTGTGCAGCCAGCAGTCAGAAGTCCCATTTTGGCATTACCAAGGTTGCAAAGAGCACCCCATCACAGGCTGGAACTGTGAAACCTTCCTCCGCCATACCTCTGTGTTCGAAATGCTGGCAACTGTATTGCGCAGAGCCTATAATTCTTGAAGCCTACTGCTTCAAGCTGGCCGGCACCCGCCGCAAGGACTAGTGGGTTGGAACCTGGACTCTTCATTATGTCGTGCCTCCAGATAAGGATCCCAACAGACTTCTTTCATCCCTACCCTGCTTACTCCTGCAATGTCCTTGAGTAGCCCACTGTACTGCTCATCAGGAGGATGGCCGGCCAACAGCCGCCCCCGAGCCGAGCCCATCATGTTGCACCATGCTGTGTGATTTCATGATAGGCCACATCCTCAGCAGCTGGGGGTTCATTCGGACTAAGTGGGGTTGAGAGGTCTCATTCTCAGCTGGCTCTTCCTGTTTGAGACTGTTCCGTCTACTCAACAAACAGGAAGTTTCCGGAACTTGGTGTAGCCCTTTACAAGCCACTATTGAATCCCAGTTCCTATCTAGGTAATATTTTTAAATCCGAGCTTGCCTGTGTATCCTCATATGATTTCTGCTGCCAACCCTATTGCGGCAAGAATCTTTGGAGCTCTTCCGTGTAGGGCCCCCTTTTGCAGGTTCTACTACGAAGGATAACCTAAGAGAAGAGCTCTAACCTGGCAAACCTACCTGAGGCGGGGGCCTGCTTTCCGTTGCGAGCCTAATTCCAGCGGTGCTTGCGGCGAGGGCCTCAGCAACTGTTGAGCAGTCGGGCTTTGTGTGGTGAGTGTTTCATGTTCCTCGCTCTGCTTTTGAACAGTTAATGAGGGTTCGCCGGGTATACAGGGAAGATCATTTACCTCACAAATTATGGATTTGATTGGGGGTCGCTAGAACACTAGAGTTTGGGACTTGAACAAGGAGGATCAATGCGAGAACCCTTGTGCACCAGCAGGCGTAGTTGAGTCCACAAACTTGGGCCAACTGTTTGTGGCAGCCGTATGCCACCATCTGCTCATGTTTGCGTTTTTTCTCTTCGCTGAACCCTTGTTCAGCATGCAGACTCAAGGTAAATTTGGCCCGCAATCAGTGGGATGACGAGTGCGCAACTCTTGGATCCCTCCGATCATGGCTTATGGCAGATGGAATTATTGCAGCTTGTTTGCGCTTTGCAGGATTTGAGCGGCTGTTTCTCAGGCGAAGGTCCCAAAAAGACAGGACCCCTTCAACAAAAGGGCCCTTCATTTTGGACTGTCCCTCCCCCTTTCCTCCTGTCCCTCTACTGGCAGAGCCAGACAGACTCCCGCGCGGTTTAAGTGTTAAGATTTAGGGGCGAGGGGTCATGGCCCCTGCACTCTGCTGATTCCAGTCTCTGCTTGGCTCCGCGCTATTCATGACTTAGTATTCATTGGTGATGGCCATTGTTAGGCTAATGCTGTTTGCTGAGGACATTCAACACAAACAATTTGCATTCACTATGTCGAAAGGATATCAATGAACAGCATCTTGCTCTCAGATGCTTGCGATTTGCGTGACAAAGAGGGCTATAGGCCTGAGAGCCCTACTTGCCCTATATCTTCGGTTAGGCCTCCATTCTGCAATCGTCGCGCAATATGAATATGTAAGAAGCAAGTACAATTACTACTGTCACTTGCACTCACCATTAATGGATGAGGACCCAACGTAACCTATACCTGAGGTGATTGTAATGAGTATACCGGGGCTTTACGCCGTCGTTTGCTGCGGGCAGGCGCAGGCACAGATCGTGACACAGTGACGTTCAGGGACACTGGGTCTAATGTAGGGGCATGAATAATTGCCATGCGCGGTTTCGGGGGTATAGGGCTTAGAGTTAACATTATCAAAATTTGAGAATGGAAGCGAAAAAGAAACAGCAAAAAAACAAGGAAACTGCATGGGTTTATGTGCAGACTTTTAGAATTGTGATGGAAGGGCCTCAACAATGCAGCTGGTCCCAGATTCCTCGAATATTAATTACGCTTTGGGGTGCTTCAAATTGGCTTCAAAAAGGATGTTGGACATTTTTAGGCCATAAACTACGCTAATCAGGCTTCATACTTGCCTGATCTGCCTGGAAAAGATTTAGTTGTCCCACACCTTGCAACTAAATACATAGACCATCTCTGCCCTTTTGCCAAATCGTACCGGTCTCCAAGTCGTATCCTGAAGATCAGGAAGCTTGCAGGGTGCTCTCTCCAAAAATCATTGGTTTATGTACGGTTAAGGGCTTGGGGGTTCAGGATCCGGAGTTTAGGCCCTTAGGGCTGGGAGCGAGAGTCGTGTAGCCTTCATTCATCCTGGCATCCGCTTCAACTCCAGGTGTAAAATGGCCCTTTGGCTGGACATCAGATTCAAGAGGCCCTTTTCAGGGAACACTTTTGAATGCTGTAGTAAGTAGTAGGCCCTGCATTATCTAGCTTTCCCAAATAAATGGGCACCGGGCTTTTGGCAACCGCTCCGCCACAATCCCCACAGAATCCCGGTAACCTGACTACGTATGATGAACTCCTACAGTCTAGGCCCCTACACAACCCTATGCGGACTTTCCTGCCATAACCCCCCAAACTCCTCGCAGGGACTGAACAAGTGCCTCTTGCTTCCAACTTTGGTCCTGATGGTGTGGGGCTACGCACTTCAGCCGAAGTTGATCATGCCAGATCGGGGGTTCACAAAATTATGGATATTCATGTCAGGGGGGCTTACTTTAGGAAGACCAGCATGCGCGGTGGCGCAAGCGCGTTTTCGGGACACGCAGTGGATGGAGGAATTCTTGCACCACGGTTTATAGCCTCAACAGTATTTTGGGAAAGTTAAGTTGTGCAGAATTTCCTCCATCCACCATGGCATCTCGGGCTTGCCGGGGAAGATTCGCCTTGAAGGCTTGCAGCTTCTTTTTCGGGAATGCACGCTTGTAGTGTCCATGCTGCGAATGGGTAGTGTGATCAAGCACCATGAATTGCATAGTTGCTGTTGAGTCTGGAATTCCGTGCGAAAAACTTCCTGCGATTCGCGGACTCTGTGCGGAAAGAAAACATAAGCCCCCTTCAAAAGAAGGCGTTATCTCAGGAGCAGAAGCTGCAGCTACACATCACTCCAAACACCCGTCTTCCTGCAATGTCAAATGTTTCTTGTTGCGACCCCATGTCAACGCAAAAGGGTTGGTTTAGGATGTTTAGGGTTTGTATACAAGAGTACAGATGCTGGAAGGATTGCCGGCAACATCTTGAGAGTTCCCACCCAAAAAAACAAAAGTACAATTCATAGGCGCATATGGGTAGGTATGCATGGGCTGGAAGCAAGTATTGTACTCAAAAATTTCACTTAGGACTACCCCTGAGCCTCCACGTACTGGGTTGCCATTATTAAGGAAGCCTCCATTGTGAGGAAGCCATCTTATTCACCATCTGAGCTATGGTCAATATTGGCTTGATTAAGGTGACTGTGGACATAGTGACTTAGTGTAGTTTTGTATACCGTATACTCCCTAATATAATACTTAATCAGGAACCCAGGCCGATTATCTATCAGGGACATATTGATTGTAGCGCATATATCCATCCTAAGTTCATTAGTTGAGGTCCGGGGCAAGCGGGGTCTAAAACACTGTGTGGAAGGATATTCAGGATCAGAGGTTCAGGCGCGTATTACAGAGGATTGCCAACATTATGGAACGGACATATGTTGGTCCCAGATTCCTTGAATAGTCAAGAGATTTCTTGTGGAGTGATAGCACAGGGTGCCTTAAATGATATGGGTAACTGTTGAGGCGACGGCGTCTACATTACCATCTTAAGATGGGCATAATGAAGAATTCGTCCAAAAACTATTACCATGGGTATAGTTCATCCTACTAAACTGTGCTGTTCTTAGGAATTATTTTGCATTTTTTCGTATAACCCTAAGGAGATACCAAAAATATTAGTTCTATTATAGGTCTAAGGAAACTACACTAAAAGGGCTTGACATTGTCACTTGACATGAGCCCAGGTGACCTACAACAACCCTGACGAGCTGGATCTGACCTCAACAACTACAACCACCACCACATCAACGACAACCACCACTGGAACAGGCATTGCCCCTATAGTTATCGAGCCGTGCGACGATCTCAAGAAACTTGCTTACCAATGATCTCTTCAGAAGGGCAAACAAACGGTAACAGTGGTCCCCCGATATGAGGTAGTTTTCCTGTCTTCAGCGAGATGGTACCTCAGAGACTTTCCAAATCCAAAGCCTTGAACATGCCGGGCACACCCGAAGATGGGCCTGATGAATGATGAATCCAGGTGAAGCGCAAGTCACGTTCAAAAACCCTCGGGCTCTTGCAGCACCTCTATAAAGATGCAGCGTAGAAGCATGGTATTCCGCTCTTAAGTACTAAAACCCCTTGTGAATTGTAGCCTGGCCCAAAAGATTATTTCACTTCCCCAGGCCGTTACTGCATATAGTTCTGCCCAATGTTCCATGGTTCTGGCCTTTGGGTAGCTGGGAATGAAGGAATGGAAAAGAGAATGGAAACTACTATTAGTGGGTTATGTAAGGAAACAATTATACCGGGTTTTCTGGGGGGAAATAGCATGATGGGTTTTATAGGGACTACTATAAGGATCCATTCCTTCATTCTTAGCAAACCAAAGGCCCGGGTTTGGAGTGTCGAAAGCAGCTCAGGATAAAAGCTGGTCTGATTCTGCTGACCCAAGCGGTTGCCCCACTGGCACTATGCAACTTGATTGCACTTCTGAGAGGTGCGGGTTAGGTCTTTGGTTGCGTCAACAACCTCATGACCTTGTTGCGTGCTTTTGTTTTATGGAAAACCGTGTTTCAAATCACATGTATCAAGTTTTGCAGACAACCCAGGCAACTATGTGGCTCCCGGAATGCACTGAGCTGCGAGAACCAACTCTGTCCGGCTATCCACTCTCTTGCCTAGTTGTGGTTTGTGGTGGCTGGGGGGGGCGGGCGATAGGGACATTACAGTGATGAGCACAGGTGATTATCTACAGACTACGGAAGGTATCCATTCCCAGACCCGCTACTATGCGTTGATACCCATTCACAAGCAAGGAAGAACAGTGTCAACGTTAGCACTGCGAAGAGCTTGTTAGCCTGCCCAACAAGAGCCGAAGCACTGAGAGAGGTCACAGGTTCCGAAGAGCTCCCAAGAGCCCGTTGCAAGATAAAACTTTCATTCTTGCTACAGCAAATGTAGGAGAATCGCTCATGGGGTCGGTGTGGTGTGCGCAAGTAGAAGCCATGGAATAGAGGCACCCTACAAATCAAGCATGAGAGAATGAGGCCCTCCAAAATGCCCCCTATAATGCCCCCAAGCACATCCCCTTAACATTCTACACAATCCTTGCAGCCAGTGCGATCCGGGCTCTGTAAACTTATCGATCCCTGTAGGGTCCATATAATCTTCGCCATGTCATTACGGAATTTGAAAAAGGGACCTTAGTTTCGAGAATCGCTCCAATGAATGTTATGCATTCAAAGAATTTCAATAGAATTCCTCAACGGACCCGTACATTATCCTTTGAACCCCTACATACCTCTGGGCCTCAAGTGTGAATTATCTTGAGAGTCCTGAACTGTAAACACTTACAAAGGTTGGCGTCCTTGGCGGGGCAGGGTTGGTCTCTGGTTTGCTCACCTTTCCAGCGGCCGTCGCGCTTTGCACTGCAATTGCCCAGTTTCTTGGCTGTTTAGCACCCTACTGACTTTGAATTCTTCATGCATCCCCAAGCACCCCATGATAATTATGTATCCCGTTGAAAGACTCACATGTTCGAAGGGCTCATTTGAATTCTGCGGGTTTTTTTTAAAATGAGGCGGGGATTGACCTGTAAGCCAATCCTAGTCAGAAGCTGGGACTTCTGTTACGTAGGGATGCAAATTCTTGTCGTAGATCATCCTAATTGAGGAAGCGCATTCTACGAGTAAGTGCTATGGCCCTAAGAGAAACATAGAGGCAGCTTGTGCGGAGGCGACACGTTGTAAATGAGCGGCATGAACTTCCCTCAGTAGTGCCCCAGTCCTGAATATTCACGCAGTGCACGTGGGTACTCACTTGGGTCGACATATCAAGCATCCCACAAAGACAGGTCATGATTGCTGAATGGTCCCTGAAGCCCAAATTATGAGCCCTGGCCTGCCCGGCGTTTATGCAAGGGCTATGCAGCTAAGTCGCCATGCTCAATGGATCTTATGACCTCCATACCACACAAAAAGCCTGGCAACAAGCTGTCAACCCTAGACTACGGCCTTAACCTGAAGCGGCCAGGTGGGATGCTGAGTGCCATGAGCCCCTCGTGACGTGGCTCTTCATTCACGGCCTGCTCCTCTCATTGGTGCCAGGCACACCTGAGTCGGTGTGGAATGTGAGTGTTCATGTTTTGCATTATTGGTCTAGTTACGGGCACAGTCCGGACATCATCATCATCATCGTCGTCGTCGTCGTCGTCGTCGTGGCCGACGTCTTCACCGTGATTGTTACTGTGGTCGTGATGAGCAACAGTATCAACATCATCACACTTATCATTATCACCACTGCTGCTCCTGCTGTCCCTTTCTTGTAATGATTATATGAAAGGTTCTTGCCATTATCATTATAACGGCACCTGCCGCCTGAGTGGCTCAGCCTGGCTAAGCGGTCAAGCAAGCGTTGATCCACGCAAGCCGTGTTCCAAGGTGGGCAAGGCAGTAGAAGCAGACGGCTTAAGGGCCGCCTGTAGAGCCAAGATTGTGCAAGGCTTCTTTTTCATGTGCGTCGGCATGGACTCGGAGGTTGTGGCATATGCTCGCCCTGCCCTGAGATTGCCACATCCTGTAATGTGGGCAGTTATCTCTACTAAATTTAATTAAGCCTCCTTGCATACCCCAAAACGTCTTGCTGATAGGGGCCAATGAACGGGGCCGTTCGTTGTTAGAGACTCCCAGTTCCTGATCTGCTTACCTGGAGCCAGCGCATGTCTGGAAGCCTTCCGAGGCCTCAGACAAAAGGCCCGTGCTGAGAATGCGACCTATCCGGCTGATACTCGAAAGGAGGACAGGGCTGAGGGTTTAGAAGCAAGGAAGCAAGGCCCAAAGGTGCTTTCACACTGTAGCAAGAAGCCTGGCGTTGCTTCTTCTTGCTAACGGGCCGCGCAGCAAGAGCGGAAATAAACAGAGTGCGCGCAGTTCTTGGTGGTTGAGTCCAAAAGGGCGTCAACATGGAAATGCAACAGGCGACTCTACCCTGGCTGACTTGGGGGGTCATGCAACTGCAACCTCAACTTGGCGAGGCTAGGACAGCCCCAACAAGGAGACCCGTGAACTGTGGCAATAATGTTGCTACAGTCAACCCTGGCATGCAACTGAGCAGGAGACTCTTGGCGCTTGTGCTCATCATGCCCCTCGTCCAGAATTGGCATCCGAAGGAAGTCTGGCAGTTATCGTGGTGAGAGTAGCTCTGATGACTGGTGGCAATGACCGTATCATTAACAGTGATAATAAATGCAGTAGATGTACCTCAAGTTTGAAAGCTGAGCTTCCTTGCGCAGTTCCTTACCCAGGAATTGTCAGGCGAAGCATGCATGACCGGAGCCTCAGGTTGGAACACTGGCTGTGCTCTGTAAAAAAGACAAATTCTCATGGATAGTGTACGAGAGGTGTGCACTGTAGCATCGCAACAATTCAACTGGCCTCCTTCGTCCACGCTTCCGTAGCGGGGGGATGGGGCCAAGCCATTGCCACTACCCTGCTAGAAGCCACGACCGTTCCTAAACCCTAGAGAGGCTTTTTATTTGGGTTGTTTTGGGTTCTCAGGCGAAGAGCTAGAACCAATGAGCAGCGCCGCCCTGGATATACAGAGGTAGTTCTACACACGGTCTCACCCAGAACTAGCCACGAACCTCCAAGGTCAACTCCTGCCTGGTGCTGCCGACGCTTCTCCTTCTGGCTGTGGGCGCATACCTGCTTCTTTTCAGATTGTTGAACACAGTTCTGCTTACTTTCAAGAATTCACCCCCAGTTGAACATCAGCATGGCAATTTTTCATCAAGCCTGAACAAGAGCCCAGGCTCTACCACACCACCGACGCCACGTGCCCCTTAGATGGCCTTTGTCATCATGAAGCAGTTGCTTTCTGCCGGTGGTAATGTTATTGTTGCAGCTGCTGTTGCTGTTGCTGCCACTGCTGGTGATCCATGTTTGGTATGAGCCTGACACTCTAACTCGTATGATCTGTTACAAGCACAGAACAGTACCCTGCGATCGTGGATCCACCAAAATACAATATAGAAACTCCCGAAAAACTCTTCAACGTTCTGCAGGGCCCTGTTTGGTGGTTGCTTGCCCACGCCTTGCTTAGGCAATCCGAGCGTTCGATGGTGGGCAAAGCTGACGCTTCTGGATCAGTTCGGAAGGTGTTGTGAAGTTTTGTGTAGAGTTAAGCCTAATCAAGAATCCACCCTAGGACACTAAGCCTTTGGCCCCTCAGCCTGAAGAATCCTTGGAGTGACATGAACGACAAAGGTTAGCTCTGACCGCTCTAGCACCCGTTGTCGGGGCCTGCTGTGTCGAGAGTCTTGGCTAAAGAGAAGTTGAAGTTGCCCATGCTGCAAGGATGTTGTTCATTACTACTATATTACTATAAGCTTTCATTCTTATTGTTCTCAAGACTGCTGGCATTACTAGAACTGTAACTATTACTGAAATAGCGACGGGATTTGGGTGGGGGTTGCGGACATGCTCGCCTGAAGGGGATGATGTAAGGGCTGGTTCTCAATGAACGGTGGGGCCACCGAATAGTTCGTCGCTGTGCTTCGCTGATGAAGAAATTGCTTTTTGCAGCATCTAGCTTCCTGAAACCTGTTGCAGAGCTTGATGACATCCTGCTCAAAGGATCGTAGTCTTTTTTTCCATTTCAGGGAGCACAGCCTGCTCAGGTGCTGTGAAACGAGAAGCAGTGGCATTCCGGGCGCGTGCTGGGATCCTCCCCCAGTGCAGGCTTTGGATAACACTTTTGAAGAGGTAGTGCAGCCGACGTTGTCCTGAGCACGCCGGCTGACTACCAAGCCTTTTCCACTGATACCAAGCCACCCTCCCCTGGCACGGGCTAACCTGAGCACCAACTAACGCATTTACTCAGAGCGAGATGTCACGGGGAGGGGAGGAGTATGATTATGATTAGTAGGTTTGCTGTTGTCATTCCGTATGACAACGCCTAGCTCATGGAGCATCTCCGCAACATCCTCCGTGCCGGAGCTACCGAGCTACCGGTTGGATGAGACCACTGCATTTTTAAACCCATGCTTTTGCCAGAGGTATGCCCGCGGCATGGAGGCTCCATAGAATCGATTCTATTTTCAGGAAACCTATTATGCTTTGGAGGTTCGGCTGAGACATATCAACCATAGTGGTTGCTGTTAAGGTGCCGGGCCATCCCCTGGCCCAGAAGGAACATTCAGCTGATATTGGGTTTCTCATTCTCACCCCTATGGAACCCTGAGTTGTTGACGCCCACGCTCCCTTGGTAATCCTCATTTACCCCGACAACGATGCGCTTCCTGTAGTTGCAGGCATTTGTTGTACGGTGACCCATATACACCGCTGAACTTTGGAGCTAGGTACCTTTGAAAAGCTGCCTTTGCAAGTACTCTCGACATCAAGTACTGAATGACCTGTAGACTTCCTAAGTTCGTGGAATTCCGTCTAGCCCTCACGAATTCAAGCTTCCTGCACGACGCAGCATTGGCTACATGCAGCCTTGCCTCCATAGCGGCGCAAATGAACTTGCATCATGCGCTTTACCGGCAGCGACATGAGTAGCACTCAGGTTTACCAACAAGTACACATGGAGGTTCTTGCTCCAGATGAGTATCACCTCGTATTGTGGTAGATCACACTTAAGGCTCAAGTGCACACCATCACTGGCATGGTGATGCTCAAGTCGGATAAAGCAAGCGGCACCAACGTGGAGCCTTTTAGAGGCAGACGCAGGAGCCAGAAAAAAGAGGGTGCCGCGCCGCACGACCGTACGAGTGGATTTGCAGTGGTTCATGGCCCTAGAAAAAGGTATTTTTGAATTTTCACGCACGAGTGTCCAGCCCCGTGGGAGAACTGGTTTTGGCTGTTTTGGGATTGACTGGGTGGCTAGATGCACGTCGAAGAAGGATCCAGCTCGAAAAGGGGTTCATGGCGCATCACCCAGGACGACTGCAGCATCATCCTATTGCTGCAACTCAGTCAAGAAATCCTGAACAATAATCCAGGTGCTGGTACTAGTGTTCAGTTGAAGAGGGAAGGTTGCGGTGTCGCTTTTGATGGAAGTAGAAAGCAATCCCCAAGCGCAGCGCCGTCGAACCTATGAGGCGGTAAATTGAGATGCCACGGTCATACCTTCAGCCCAAACCCGGCCTTTAACCACTACACCATGAAAAGCCAGGTCCCAAATCATAAAGATTGAACCCCTAATCCCTAAACCTCTGAGCCATGCGGGGGGGAAAGAAGCCAGAAACCCCGAAACCCTGCCCTGCAGGCTGCCCTCGTTCCATCAAGAGGCCTTGCGGAAGGAGCTTATGGGTCCTGGGCACAAGCGGCGGCCTCAAGACCCTGGAGGAAGGGGGAGAGAACAACCTGATAAGCCTGATAAGTTACCAATGATTCCCTTACAATCGTCCTTGCATAAACCTCCCCATGCAAAAATACACAAACACATATATATATATATATGTATACAGAAATACATATGTAAATGTATACATATACAGGTGTGTTTTGTGTGTGTGTGTTTGTGGAATTCAGCCTCGAACAACATACTCTACTTGGACTTGTGTAGCCTCCAGCATTAGTGACTTACTGTAGGTCTTGGGATGCTCGGAGTTTCGCGAGCAAGTGGTGCTCAGATATATGCGAAGAGTAGGCACAAACATCTACGAGGCGTGCTTCCCATGGCTCTTGAAGTAAAGGGTCCGCTGATTTCAGAATCTAATAGTACTAGGAATAATACTGTAGACCAATAATAGGAATAGTAGTATTAGTGGGCTTCAGGTTTTAGGGTTGAGGCTTCTGGATTCTTGGGCTGAGTGAGGCAGTCGCTGAAAGATGAAAATCCATTGGTTTGGGGGTTTTGGGTTGAGGGTTTAGGGTTTAGGGTTTCGCCTTCCTGGGAGCAGGATGTGGCATCCCATCCAAGCTGGTTGGACCATTCGCTTGGCTTCCCCCCAGGGCTTAACTACTTGGAACAGAATAGGATTCAACAGTACTTTCGTTTTGCCTTCCTACAAGATCTTACAATGGTGAGGTCTATAGACCATTATGGTTAGCCTCTGGCCCTACATAGAGGGCCGAAGATCCCTGGAGGAACCTTTTTGTCAAGGGAAAGCCTCATTTGCCCTGAACCCTAGGCAAAAGACGTTGCTGAAGCCAAAGCCGATGTCCTCGGACCGGGGTCGTGTAGGATTGTTAAGGTTTGAGGGCTTTGGAATTGGGTTCTGCGAGGCCTGCAGTAAGGAGTATATGTATTGTGGTTGTCAGACAGCTCTGAAGCAATGAGTTGAAATATGATTGCAAGGCCATGTGTCAAAAATATGAAGGC